TGGAAGGGCAGGGGGATCCGGAGGGGTTTGGGAACGCAGAGGAGGTGGACGAGGAGCGAGTACAGGGTAGCGCGCAACTCGTTCTCTGCCAGGATCAAAGCGGCGAGGGATGGGCACTGGATCGAATGGTTGGAGGAGCTGGACGGGGGTGACGTGTGGATAGCGGGGAAGATGATGAAGTCGGGGCCGTCGGACGGGGGAAAGACGAGGGTGCCAACGCTGAAGAGGAAGAGCGCGGCGGGGAGAGAAGAGGTGGCGGAGACGACTGAGAAGAAGAGCGTGTGGATGGTGGAGGAGTTCTACCCGCCACGTGGCCCTGGTGCCACGGATCCCGACGACGACACGCAGTACCCAAACCCCCTCTGGAAATACCGCCCCATCACCGAGAGGCAACTCCAGCAGGTCATCGACAAGATGAAACCCTGGAAAGCAACAAGGAGCGGAACTTTCCCGAATTGCGTGTACAAGCTCTGCGCGACGCTACTCGTCCCTCGACTATGCAGAATCTACCGGGCGTTAGACGTCTACAAGCACGAGCCAGCGGACTGGAAACGCACTGAAACCATCATAGCGCGCAAGCCCGGGAAACCGGATTACACCCTGGTAGGGGCCCACCGACCGCTCATCCTCTCGCACGGACACGCAAGAGTGCGCAACGCTGCGAAGAACTTTCAGCTCTCGGTGAACGCGGAGAAATACAAGATTTTCCCACCGAATCAGTACGGAGGCCGCCCAGGGAGGACCGGAGTCGACATGGTGCAGGGGATCGTAAAGAAGGTGCGAGATGCGTGGAGGCGGGGGAAAGTGGCGACGTTGCTGCTGCGGGACGTGAAGGGGGCGTTCCCCAGCGCGCTGCTCTCGCGGGTGGTGCACAACATGAGGATGGCGGGGGTGCCTCGGCAGCACACAGAGTGGATGATGCGGAGATTTGCTGGAAGAACGACTCAACTCCTGTTCGATGACTACACCTCCGCCCCCTTCGACATAGACGACGGCCTCGATCAGGGTGACCCGGGATCCGTAACTTACTACAGCTTCTTCAACGCTCCGCTGGCCCGCATCCACCCGGACTCGGGGATCTATGTCGACGACTATCACGCGCTCGCAATCGGGAAGAATCTCGTCGAGACGTCGAAGGCGCTGGAGGACTTGGTGACGGAGGAGGGGGGCGTGAACGAGTGGGGGGTAACACACAACAGTGTTTTTGGTGCGGCCAAGGATCAGGTTTGCCACCTGTCCCAGCGGCGCGTGTGGAGAGTGCAGCCGTTTGGGCAGCGAGGTGTTTGGGAGCCAGAGCGGCGGCCGAACCTGGTGATAGACGGAGTGGTGGTGCGGCCGAGCGGGGCTGTGAAGTTGGTGGGAGTGTGGATTGACGAGAAGCTAAATTTCAAGCATCAGGGCGCAGCGGCGGTGGCGAAGGGGCAGCAGTGGCTGATGAATTTCCGGCGGCTTGCGCGCGTCTCCGGAGGAGTGGGGGCGCAGCACATTCGCCGCCTGTTCGTTGCTATCTGCCTGCCGCAGATGCTCTATGGCGCGGAAGTCTTCCTGGCCCCGACACACCAGCGCGTGCAGGGCGCGAACAGGAAGCGAGATGGTCGGGCGATCATCAAGAAGCTGGGCACTATTCAGCTCAGAGCAGGAAGATTGATTCTAGGGGGGATGGTCTCCTCACCTGCGGATATGGTCGATGCCCATGCCGACCTCCTCCCAATCAACCTCTTCGTCGACAGACTGCTCCAGAAAGCGGCGCTCCGGTACGCCTCCCTCCCCGCATCACACCCTCTCCACGACGCGGTCCGCAACGTCGAACGCTACGGACATGTCAAGCGCCACCCCTCGCCACTACATTTCTTGATGTCGGCCTACAAGGACGTGCGACAAACTTTGGTGGAGGAGATCCGCGCGGTGAGATACAGTGCGAGGTGGGAGGCGCCGGTGGAAGTGCGCGTTGCTGCCTCCAAGGAGGAGGCGAAGGCGGCGTTGGCGGAGACGTCGAAGGTGACCCTGTTCTCGGACGGGTCGCTGATAGACGGGAAAGTGGGAGCGGCGGGGTTGTTGATGGTAGACGGCGTGGTGAAGAGGACGAAGGGGGTGCTGCTGGGCTCGGCGAAGAGGTATGGGGTGTACGAAGCAGAAGGAGTGGGTCAGGTTCTGGCGCTGGAATGTTTGAGGCAGGAGCGAGACGAAGATATCGGCGGGATTATCCCCCTCGGCGTGGACAACACATCGGCCATCCGGGCGACGACCAGCGCGAAGGCAGGGGTTGGGAGCTACATATGGGACGCGTTCCAGATGCGACTGACTATGGCGAGGCAGCAACATCCGGAGTTTCGACTCCGGGTGGATTGGACCCCCGGTCATGTCGATATTCCTGGAAACGAGGCGGCGGACGAGGCAGCGAGACGCGCAGCGCAGACGGGCTCGTTTGGAGGCACCCCCAGGGTGCTGACGGACCTGCCCTACAGCAAGTCGGCGTTAGCCCTCACCCACATGAGGCTGCTGCAGACGAGTGCGAAGAAGACGTTTAAACGATCACCGCGTTACGCGCGGATCAAAGACGTCGACAACTCTGCTCCCTCCTCCAAGTTCCGCAAACTCACTGCCCCCCTCCCTCGGAAACACGCCTCCCTACTCTTCCAACTACGCTCCCACCACGCGCCGCTTGCCAAACACTTATTCCGACTCAAGAAGGTCCCATCCCCGATTTGCCAATGCTGTGGAGCCTGCGAAGAGACTATCGACCACTTCCTACACCACTGCTCCGCTCACGCCCACGCCAGACGACTGCTACGCCAGACCAATCGCCATGCTGCCTTCACCAACCATCTTCTCACCGACCCGAAGCTCCTCCCCGACTTCTTCCAGTTTGTACAGCGAACTGGACGCTTCCACGCCGTATACGGCGACTTCAAGGAACTCGAACGCCCAGACGACCAGTAACATAGTACACCATTTTCTTACATTTCTCTCCTCTTACCCTATTGTATTTAACCGGAACTACTTACATGTAGAAGCTCCCTCGAGCCACATACCCCGCGGAAACCTCCGCTTCGCACCCGTCCCGTCACGGGTTGCAAGTGTTCGTGTAGTACGATTGTCGTCTCAGCCCAAGCACACATAGATTATTTAACTAGATAGGATTATTTCTACCATATGTCTTAGACACACAGGAAATAAAACAAGGATTCAAAAAAAAAAAAAAAAGGGACTAAGGCGGCATACGAAGGTAAAAAAAATCGATAATGGAGGCGTAACTGTTACTCTAGTACAGGTGGTGGTAGTGGTGGTATTTATATGTAGGAAAAAAATGGGAATAAGTCCCTGGAGGCTATACGAGTCTACGCGATGGCGTCGGAATACATGCTGCGGCCGCGCGAGCTGAGTCAACATGCAGTGCGAATTAAATTGAAACAATACGCTGGAATTCGGCTCGGGGCTGGAAACATCGTGGATCGATGAATAAGACCGGGGAACGCGTCGGAGAAGTTCGAGAATCACGGAGATCGCGTGGATGCGGCGTGTCGAACAATAAAGATGGCGTGCATGGTCGTGTTTGCATCGGAGGTTGATCGGATTCGGCGTTCAGCGGCAGGCGCTGCTCATCATGGGGAAGGCAAAGGAGCAGCAGAGGTGGGAGGAGGAGTCAAGCGACGCGCGTTGTTTGGCGCACAAACATCCAAAACGGGACGCTTCCGTTTTGGGAACCGGTCCGAAAAAAAAACGCCGAGTGTCAAGGTTTTTAGGAACAGCTGTAAAGTACTATCCAAACAGATCTGGCAAAGAAAGCAGGTGCACTTCATATGCTATCAGGTGTTCCATATATCATTTCAGGCCTGAATAACTGGTATACTTGATTGTGGTTCAACAGTTTGATCTCCCTTCTTCCAACTCCAAACAAGGAGTTCATGGAGTCTGCTCAGTCAAGAAAAAAAGCCAGAGTAGTACTGTGTTGTGCTCTCCTGTGCTTCAACTCAAGACGGGATTATTTATTAGATACAAGTCAGGTACAAATCCAACTTTGTGGTTGAAAAAAAAACCTGGTGGGCCGACACACCACCCGACCCCGAATCGAACGGGGACCTCCTGCTAAGGCATTTGAAGAGGAACTCCAAGGAAAGCAGGCACACTCCAGGTGCTATCAGGTGTTCCTTATTTTGTCTCAAGCCTGCATAGCTAGTTCAATTCTAATTCAGCCGAACCAAGATTTGCATACCAGTAGTTCAATGTAATTACTTCCCTCATCCAAACAACAAGGTGAATGGACTCATCCTAGTCTGGTCAATTGGCCAGACTCTTGCTTTGCTAGATTCTTCAAGACAGGATTATAATAACCCCGGTCCAGATTCAACTTCGTGGTATGTAGTGGAATAAAAAATAAAAAAACTGGTGGGCCAACACACCACCCAACCCCGAATGGAACAGGGACCTCCTGCTTCAAATAATTTATGAAGATTTGCCCAAGTAAAGCAGGTGCACATCATGTGCCATCAGGTGTTCCTTGCTTTGCCTCAGGCCAGGATAGGTGTCTTCAGTTCTGGTTCAAATTCAATGTCGACCAAGGGCATAGTTGAATGTGACCACCATCAAGTTAAAACTGAGGAGCTTGAGGTCGTGAGTCTAACGAAACCAGCCGGAGCACAATTTGGGTAACAAAAAGGAACAGCATTGGAATAAATCACCCAACCCCGAATCGAACGGGGACCTCCTGCTTGAGATAATTCCCATCGACTCAACACAAGAAAAGCAGGCGCACACCATGTGCTATCAGGTGTTCCCCATATTATTCCATGGCTGGGTAGCTGTGATACTACTTGATTGTGGTTCAGCTAGTTCAATTTCCCCTAAGTTCTTCCACATCCAACCACAAAGAGATTACTTACCTAGTGTGCTCAGTCAAGAAGAAGAAAAAACAGCCAGAGTAGGACTTTGTTCTGCTCTGCTTTGCTTCAAGTGGTACAAATTCAACTTTGTGGTTGAAAAAGTTGGATGATCCTAAAGCACCACCCAACCCCGAATTGAACAGGGACCCCCTGCTTGAACCATTTGGCAACACAAACAAGGAAAGCAGGCACACACCATGTGCTATCAGGTGGACCCTACCTTGCTCGAAGCTCGGATAGCTGTGATACTGTAACGGACTCATTTTTCATCTCTCGTGCTACGGCACTCACACTCCTTACTATACCATTTTTACCTCACTCTGCGCCCGCAGACGCCGACACTCATTTACCTCCGTTTCATTTCAACATTTGAACCATCACTACAATCACTCGAAACACATACAAACCTTGATACAGTATATAAGCCTGTAGCGTAGATCAGATTCCTCGGTCACTCTTACACTTACGCCAGTTACACCGTCGGATTTACCACCCTCAACTTTGTGTGCCGGACTAGCCTCGAGCTCTCCGTCACAGATACCTGAGTGTGGTTCAAATTTAAACTCAACCAAACCCCAAACAAAAGGATCAAGGGACTCAGCCAAGTTCACAAATAGAATGAAGTGATTATTTGTAGGGATCCCCACCATACCGTATACAGTTACGGCCGTAAAATAGCCCGATTTCAGGCCATACAGTACGGTACGGTTACGGGTGGTTATACGGTTACGGGCCGTATATACGGGTCAATGAACAGCGTCTAGCAAGGGTCATTAAATTCAGGTGAGTTCAACTGGGGTGTAAAATTATTGACTTTACCTCCCTCTACCCACCGGAAGGCCCAGACATCCCTCCTCCCCCCTCATTGTTGAGTTCAATTCAGACCGTAATCGACCTAGTCCTGTGGTTACCACGGTCTGACAGTAGGCGACCAGGGTTATTATATAAGCTTCCCTTTTGGGAAACCACGTGCTCTGCTCTTCGAAGCGTTTCGACGCGTCCAAGGCATGAAATATTGAGTTTCAAGCGCGACTCAGCATGGACTATGCTTCCTCCTCCACCAGGTCTCCGCTTTTAACCAAAAAAGCTACCCCACGACCTTAACTGCACTTGTTGGAGCTTTGTCCGAGCTTTCGGCCGAAAGCAAGCCCGAAACGGTATGATGGTTCGAAAATTTGCAGGTGAGTCCCAGTGGACCCAATTCTTCGGCGACTCCTTTGGAGAGCCTTTTGGATTATGGTTGGGGGCAAGAATCACGTTGTATCGATGCTCGACGCGTGAATTGAACGTGTTGTTTGGTTCAGCATAGTCCATCAAATTTGATAACCCTCGACGCCGCTTATTGAGCGCGGTAACTAACAGACCAGGATACGAGGTTACGAGTGTCGGTCTGTCGGGAGAGACTATAATCGACCCGTAAAGTCCCGGACCGCAGCAGAGGCCTTACGGTACGGTACGGGTTACCCGTAAAACTGTACCGTATACGGCGGCGTACGGTTACGGTGGGGATCCCTAATTATTTGTGCTCTTGTGCCGCAAGAATACATGAAAAGACAACGAACACAGCCTTCATCAAAAGCGTGAAAGTCACGCAAAGTGCACATGGAAAATCACGAGACCATTTCGCACGGGTCGTGCGAGCGTTAGCGAGCGCGCAGAAAAATTAAAAACCGCGGCACTGGCATCAAGCTGTGTGGGGAGCTCCGTGACGAAGGCACGGGTGCATAAAGCTGGTGCCGCAAGAATGTCCGCAAAAAGGTGACCTTGTTCCATCACAGCATTTCTCGGCATAGTGTCGCCACATCACTGATAGACGCGCACCGTGCTTGATTCTTCCTCTTTGTCACTCTTGCCTGTACGCGCACACACTGGCACAGTCTCCTTATGATATCCGTGGAGTCACTGTGCTTCCCTTCAAAGAATGCAGCACATTCCTGATAATTTCACGTGTTGAACTAAAATTCCACCAGGAACACAGGTTCCTTCCCAGCCGCGGTTACGAGGTTCATCAATCCTTATAGCCGTATTATTTGACTTGAGAAGAGAAATAATGGGTCGGGGAGGTCCGGACCGGTGTGATGTTAGGCGTGATAGTAACGCAAAGTTGGGGATGAACCTCTCCACAGCGGCTGGCATAGAATATACACAAACAACATAGCTCCAATGAACACCTTTGGAAAATTGAACAAAGGGATCAAAACTCAGCGTAGTCTGGTCAATTGAAAAAAAGGTAAAATTGGTTTTTACCATACTCGTATTATCACCCGACCCCGAATCGAACGAGGACCTCCTGCTTAGACTATCTTGCAACGCCAACAAGGAAAGTAGGTGCACACCATGTGCTATCAGGTGTTCCCTGTATTATCTTGAGCCTGGATAGATGGGATACGTACTCCATTGTGGTTCAACAGTTTGATCTACCTTATCTTCTTCCGCTTCCAACCAAAGGAGCTGCTCAATGATGTATAAAAAAGAAGGCCAAGACTCTGTTGTCCTCTTCTTTGCTTCATGACTGGATCCTGATATACAAGTCAGGTCCAAATTCAACTTTGTGGTTCAGCAAAAAAAAACCCGATGCTAACACAACCCGTCGCCTGACCCCGAATTGAACGGAGACCTCCTGCTTAGTTCTATTGAACAAATTCAAGAAAAGCAGGTGCATACCATGTGCTATCAGATGGTTCTCTGCCTTACCGTAGAACCGTAGATGCACACCATGTGCTATCACCAATCAGGTGTTCCCTGCCTTGCTGCAATTGTGTGACCTCACCAGCTTTGGATTCTTGGAAACTGTGTTTGGGTTGCAACACAGCCAGGTTGACACCAAGGATCTTCAATCTGCCGCCGCCCAATATAAATTGACACTTTGCTGTTCGTGGATGGGATAATTACACGGATGACGTGGGACAAGAATCACACATTGCATGAACTGTATCTGGCGGACTGCTGTTGTGGAAAGGGAGGAGGGAAAGCCTGCAAACATCACCAATAGTACTTGACAAACAGAGGACATTACCATGAACATGGGCCATAATTGGCCATAATCTGTTGTGCATTTGTTACTAATCTTGGGTTCTGATGCAGAAAGCTGTCAGCTGACACTGGACAGCGAGAATGTATGTATAAAGGCCCCAGAATGCTGTACGCCCTTCCAGCTTTCTCCCACTATCTTGCGCTACATACAGACCCACTGCACACACACTTTTGTTATGCCGGTGTGTTATATACCCCATCCCCACAACACTAGTGGTCTTAGTTGGCCCTACAGCGCCCGCTAGACCTGCCCAACCTGCCCAACCAGGAGTCGGTGATAACAGGTGTACGACTCTTGTCGCTCGGTGTGTCTATCTGGGGCTAGCACAGCTTCAGAGTAATGACTTCCTTCTCCAGATGGTGGTGGAATTCGAGGCCTTTCAACGTTATACATGCTCCAAACGCTCATGTACCGGATCCAACAAGAGCAGGGGCTGGAGGAAATGCCCCTTCCATGTGATTACTTCGATCTGATTGGCGGGACGAGTACTGGAGGGTGCGTTGCTTGAACTATTATTCTGGGATATTGACTGATGTCGACCAGGCTTATCGCTATTCTTGTCGGCCGCTTGCGAATGTCAGTAGACGATGCAATTGCCTGCTATGTGGAGTTCAGCAAGAGCGTTTTTGGGAAGACCAAGTCCACACTGGCATTGGGTGAAGGAAAATATTCAGCAACCATCTTTGAGGACGTGGTCAAGACTCTTGTGAAACAGAGGACCGGTGACGCGGAAACTCCCTTACTTGATAATGGAGCATTGGGTGGGGTATGCAAAATGTGAGTCTGGTTAATACAGACCATGTTGCATGACTAACTCCCCTAGATTTGTCTGTGCTCGACGTGCTGCATGCCATCGACCACGGCATAGCAGAACTGTTCCGCTCTTACCAATCCACAAATCCTGCAGTGGCCTGCACCGTCTGGCAGGCAGCACGAGCAACATCCGCAGCACCAACATTTTTCAAGCGAGTTGCAATTGGGCCAGTCCAGGAACAGTTCATTGACGGTGGGATGGGGGTCAATAACCCCGCAAAACAGCTCCTGGCAGAGGCAGATGCAGTCTTTCCCGACCGGCAAATTACATGTCTCATCAGCATCGGTACTGGATGGACAGGCACAACAGAACTTCCCAAGCCTGGGTTCCTTGAGAGGAACACTATCCCAGTGGGGGTAATAAAGGTTCTGAAGGCCCTGGCTACCGACTCCGAGCAGACGGCACAAGAGATGCAGCTGAAATTTGCCAAGCAGCCAAAGGTTTACTTTCGTTTCAATGTTGATCATGGGCTTGAAGCAGTCCGGCTTGATGACTGGCAGCAAATGAGCAAGGTTGCTTCACTCACTAGGAGCTATTCGGACAAGCACGAAACCAGATCCCTCCTAGATGATGCAGTGACTGTGCTGCTTAACCCAAAACAGCGTGCGGATTAGAGTTCCTGATGTATCATGACTTGTATCAACTCAGTTTCATGTATAGGTGTAACTCCCACAGCGGTAGGCAGGATCAACACCTGTCCTCCGGCATCCAGGATCTTCCAAGGACGCCAGCAAATCCTAGGGAAGATGCAGCAGTTCTTTTCCACAAATTCCGGGAAACAGCTCATCTATGTTCTACATGGCCTTGGTGGGACAGGGAAGACCCAAACTGCCCTCAAGTTCATTCAAGACTCGGATGCAAAGTGAGTTTATAGATTAGGTTTATCTTGTATCATTAAGATTGCCCCTGCAGTTTCACCAACATTTTTTTGGTGGATGCCAGCAGCATTGAGACAATCAAGATTGGGTTGCAGAATATTGCCAAGTCTGGAGCTGTTGGTGATTCTGCAGAGGATGCTGCAACCTGGCTCAAAAGTCAACATGACAACTGGCTGCTGTGCTTTGACAATGCCGATGACCCAGATATCAGTCTCAATGACTTTATCCCCCAGTGCAACCATGGAAATATTTTGGTGACCTCTCGGAATCCACAACTGGCAGTTTATGGTGCCTCATCCTCTATGTCTGATATGGAGGAACCAGACGCAGTGGCCTTGTTGCTCCGCAGTGCAAACAGGGAGAACGCTGCGGAAAATCTCAAAGTTGCAGCTGTGATTGCTAAGGTCAGTTCTTTTTCATGTATCGATGAAGGCAGTCCTGATCCTTTGGGCAGGAATTGTACTGCCTGCCCCTTGCAATTGTGCAGGCTGGGGCATTCATCTCAGAGTCTGAGGACCTTGAAGCTTACTTGACCCTGTATCAGTCAAATCGAAAGATTCTTCTCAGCAGAAAAGCTGGTCAACCTCACGATCACTATGCCTGGACAGTCTACACCACATGGCAAATCAGCTTTGAACGTCTGAGTAAAACAGCTGGCAACTTTCTGCAACTTTGCTCATTCCTGCACTACACTGGGATCTCGGAGAACATGTTCAGCTATGCCTGTGGGTACAAGTTCCCAGCCATTGGACCATCCAAAGAGGACCTCAAGGATTCTCTTGAGCTTCTTGCCAAATTCCAGGGTCGGAGTGGTGAATGGGACTCCCTTCGCTTCCAAGAAGTTATCAATGAGATCAAGGCATATTCCTTGATCAACTTTGATCACAAAACAAGAACATTTTCTATCCATCCCCTTGTCCATGAGTGGATTCGTACTACCCTTGCAGAAGAAGAGGACTCTTGCCAATCCAAGACCAGCTGTATTATTGGAATGTCTATTGCAGTGCTGCCACAGAGAGATATGCAGCTGTTGTCTCTGAAGTACCTGCCTCATTTTGGTTCACTGAAGCTTGTGAACACTAACGGAAGCAGGGATCTCCGAATGGCATTCTGGCGAGTATACTATTGGGCTGCTCAGACCAAGATTGCCCAAACATTGGCAGAGCAAGTGGTGGAGAAGTGGACCCCTTTGCTGGGTCAGAATCACCCAGATGTATGGCAGGTGATGACAGACCTTGCTGTTACATACAGTGACCTGGGGGAGTTCCAGAAGGCAGCAGAACTGGAGGTGACTGTGCTCGAAAAGCGCACCAAGCACTTTGGCGAGAATCACCCAGATGTGTGGCAGGTGATGGCAGACTTGGCTGCTACATACAGTGACCTTGGGGAGTTCCACAAGGCAGCAGAGCTAGAGGTGACCGTGCTTGAAAGGCGCACCAAGCATTTTGGCAAGGATCATCCAGATGTGTGGCTAGCAATGGCAAGCCTGGCTGTAACATATCACGCGCTGGGGGAGTTGCGGAAGGCAGCAGAGCTGCAGGCAACCGTGCTTGCAAAGTGCACCAAGCACTTGGGCGAGAATCACCCAGATGTGTGGCAGGTGATGGCAGACTTGGCTGCTACATACAGTGACCTTGGGGAGTTCCACAAGGCAGCAGAGCTAGAGGTAACTGTGCTTGAAAGGCGCACCAAGCATTTTGGCGAGGATCATCCAGATGTGTGGCTAGCAATGGCAAGCCTGGCTGCAATATATCACAGGCTGGGGGAGTGCTACAAGGCAGCAAAGCTGGAGGTTACCGTGCTTGAAAAGCGCACCAAGCACTTTGGCGAGGGTCACCCAGATGTGTGGCAAGCCATGGCAAACCTGGCTGTTACATACAGAGACCTGGGAGAGTTCCAGAAGGCAGCAGAGCTGCAGGCAACTGTGCTTGCAAAGCGCACCAAGCACTTTGGCGAGGATCACCCAGATGTGTGGCAGGTGATGGCAGGCCTGGCTGCTACATACAGAGCCCTGGGGGAGTGCCACAAGGCAGCAAAGCTGGAGGTTACCGTGCTTGAAAAGTGCACTAAGCACTTTGGCGAGGGTCACCCAGATGTGTGGCAGGTGATGGCAAACCTAGCTGCAACATATCAGAGCCTGGGGGAGTTCCAGAAGGCAGCAGAGCTAGAGGTGACCGTGCTTGAAAAGCGCATCAAGCACTTTGGCGAGGGTCACCCAGATGTGTGGCGAGCCATGGCAAACCTGGCTGCAACATATCACGGCCTGGGGGAGTTGCGCAAGGCAGCAGAGCTGCAGGCAACCGTGCTTGAAAAGCGCACCAAGCACTTTGGCGAGGATCACCCGGATGTGTGGCAAGCCATGGCAAACCTAGCTGCAACATATGACTCACAGCCTGGGGGAGTTCCAGAAGGCAGCGGAGTTGCAGGCAACTGTGCTTGAAAAGTGCACCAAGCACCTCAGTGAGAATCACCAAGAGGTGTGGCAGGCAATGGCAAACCTAGCTGCAACATATCACAGCCTGGGGGAGTTCCAGAAGGCAGCAGAGCTGAACTTAACTGTGCTTGAAAATTGCACCAAGCACTTTGGTGACAATCACCCAGATGTGTGGCGTGCCATGGCAAACCTGGCTGTAACATATCACAGCCTGCCTGGAAGAGTTCCAGAAGGCAGCGGAGCTTCAGGCAACCGTGCTTGAAAAGTGTGCCAAGCACTTTGGCGAGGATCACCCACACATTGACCTTGCTATTTAAAATTTTACAATTACGATTTGAGCCCTTGACACTAGGGGCATCTACCTGGGCAGTTGTACGGAAGGTGCACAGAAGGTGACAAGCATCTGAAGGGTTCGTTTGTCCATCCCAATTCAACTGACAGGGTGGGAATTAAGTACTCCAAACCCAAGCACAATCACATGTATTATTTTACCAAAATGTAAGACAAGTCCAAGCTACTTTAGCTCCTCTTGTGCAGAGTGCAGGTTGACACCCTCAACGGTGCTATCCGGTGTTTCCTTGTTTCTTGGGAGCACGGATAGGCAGTGGTCAATCTTGGTTGATATCCAAATTCAACCATGGAAAGACAGTGGTTCAATTCTTCTTCAAGAGCGCCTTAGCTGTAGTAACCTTTGTTCCGGAATCAGGGGAGCACCTGCATCGTTTCGGTGGAGATTTGATGAGTGTGCCCTTTGCTGGTTTGGGCTTAGGGGGTCGGCTGCACGGGCCTTTCATCTCAATGAGTTCTTCTATGCTGATGGTCGACACCGCCGATGTGGGTGCGCTTGCAGGATTGCTCCGGGGCTGCTGGAGTGTCAGGCTCATCAGGCACCAGGTCCGGAGGAATTCGCTGCCTGTATCCGTCCGGGGGCATGTATGGCGCAGCTGGCGGAGCGGGATCTAGCGGGATATTGATATGGTGTCAGCGTCGGGAGGTACCATTGGGTCTAAGAGGTGTTAGACACTCCAAGAGTGATTGAGACCTGTTGCGCACCGTGGGGGGATATCCATTCATATTGTTCTGCATCCTGCACTCCCAGCCTGTCCTCTCTACCAAACACAGGCCGCAAAATGTTCTCTCACAATTGTGGGTACGTTGACAGCGCTCCGACAGACGAGGATCGAAGATGGTGGAAGAAATACACAAGATCACGCAGCCGCCGGATTGGGAAGCGAACGGAGTTTGAAATCTCTATATGTTCGTACAAATATTGAATTAAAATCCGAACTGAACCCGGTTCGGAGTGAGAATTGAGCAACCCTATTTATACGGCCCAACAGGAGAATTTCTATGGTTGAAGCCAACACAAGTCCCAATTGACCTGAGCAGAGTTACATCAACAAGAAGGTGGTCCAAATTAGCTCAGAATCACCCAACCCCGAATCGAACAGGGATCTCCTACATACACAGGACATTTATCTCCAGAAAGGCAGACGCACACCATGGGCTATCGGGTGCGCTTCAAGCCTGGATAGGTGTCTTCAACCTGGGTCAAAATTCAAGTTAAGATTCAAGGAAAGGTGGATGGGTAAATCGAGTGTTGCTTGGACCATGTCAAAATCGAGCAGGTATCATGGTGAAAAAAAAGCTATGAATCAAACAGGAAATATATATACTTATGTAAACACACATGACTTAAGAGGAGTAAGTCACCATGTGCTTTTGGTGTGTTGCATCCTGGTTCAAATTGCAAAATTGAGCATTCATTGAACACCGTGATTCGGGCTTACCTTATAGCAACTTTTTGGACCCTGCATCACACGAGCAATATTCCCCGACGCGGTCCAGCCTGACGAGAGTAAGTAGAGCTTTGTTGAACAAAAAGCAATGCCGAGTCGAACCGACGAGCAGGGACCCTCTGCGTTCAGAACGAACGCGCCAGTCGCAATGAACGCAGGTGCACACCGCGTGCTACCCATGCTTGTGTCAAGCCGGGATAGGTGATGTCTTTAATTGAAGGTTCGACTACCCCTTCAGTGATTTAGTGTTTTAAAATTACTTTGGAATCCCTACTGGGCAAAATTGAGATCCCCACTGTGGTACCAAGTCAAACCCGAGCAGAGTTTCGCCGCTCTCGGACCACGCACGTCGACCCCGAGTCATACGGACTCGGCGGATGATTAATAAAAACTACACGGTAACCCCATCACCCGACCCCGGATTGAACGGGGACCGTCTGCTGAAAAGGTAGCCGAACGGATTAAGCAAGGCCTAGGCAGATGCACGCCGTGTGCTATCAGGCGTCTGCTCTGCTTGCGGCCTGGACAGAACCTGTAAGCACTCAAGTATGCTCCAAGCCCTCCCTGGCATTCAAGTTGAAGTTGAAGTTGAACTTGTTCAACTTTACAAGTTCAACTTTGATTCAACTAAAGCCGGCAGACTTCACCACTCGAACAAATAGAGGTGCGACACCAATTGGCCAATCCGCCAGAGTCACACGTACAGGCTCGCTGCCTGACTCGACCCATCCGAACCATACTTGGGCAGATTTAGAGTCGGCGCCACTGACGTCGGGTGGTATTCAGCTAAAGCCTCCTCGGAGAAACTCGCCCGTGGTTGGATTCTTCAGTAAAAAACAAACATCGCAGTTGGGAATCAAAAGATATTCAAAGCCGAACTCGTGATACAATTACAGTACAATCACCGCCCGATGAGGGCTACTGATCTGTCCCTGCAATTTCTCAATGCATGTTCAACAGCCACGCCGATCGAAAGAGACCGACCTCGAAGCTTCAGCAAATGGGGAGCCTCTTGTCCAGCTCCGAGCCACCCTCATCGCGTTTACCCGGAGCACACGGGGCGCAACACTTGAAGTTCGACCCGCCCGGGCAAAGATCTAGTGCCCTCAACATCAGCACCCAGCAAAGTGAATAGCATGGTGGGGGAATGGTAAATACGCACTGCTGATAGTATAGTGGTTCCCAGTGCAGCCGCTGGTGAAGCGACAGACTCCGCCGCCGAGAGAGGCGCTGGTGCACGGGGCCTTGGTGCAGCACTTGATGTCGGGGGGGTCGAAGGGGCAGAGGTCGTTGTGGGTCGTTCCGCCTTTGGCGGCGCAGCTGCTGGTGGAGACGCACACGCCGACGCCAGCCTCGCCGCCCGTGCAGGGGCCGTTGACGGCGGCGTGGGTCGTGGCGATGAGGGGGAGGAGAGTAAGGATGGATGTGAACCTCATACTGCAGCTTGAGTCGGATGCGTCCAACTTGGGTGGTTTAAGTAGAGGCTGGTAAGCATCATCCTGAGGTTCAGTTCGAATAAAAGTGGGGGATGGTACTCGATGCGTATCACTCATCTATCCCTTCGACCGCGTTCTTGGCTAATAAATTTCAGCCTCCAGATGACGACCAAGAAGATGCGTGTATTGATAAATCAACCACTCCACACGATTTACCCCCCTTTCACGCCTTGTCAACAACATCTGAACATTGAGGACAGTCTACGCGAGCCCGCAGAATCGCCTCGAATTGAGTTTTGCGTAACGCTGCCGAGTGCTTTGGTTCAAGTTGAGATCGGTTTCAACGGAGCTCGAGGTCAGGTGCGTTCAGTGTTCTTCTTTTGGATTAATGCTAGTTAAACGCTGGACCAGGAGTAGTCGTCACGGGAAACCGCTATCAGCTATTGGGTTAGAATTGCGGTCCAGACTCCAGGTGAATCGATATTTGAAGTGTCCTGAGCATTCCCCGAAGGTCAAGAACCAGCATAGCAAAGCGGGGATCTCTAACGCGCCGATCTGATTGCGTGCACCGTGACGATGGTATGGTATGTAGCGCTCAATACGCGAGGGACGACTACTTTCGTTGAGCTGTTGAAGTTCGACGCGTCCGCTTCTTGCGCGGAAATTTAGGTGATCGTTACCAGGTTCCCGGCTGGCGGACGGCGACGCTCGAGGCGAATTGGTGGTTGGAGAGGTATGTAGGAGTCAGTCGTTGCCACAACACCCATTGCAAACGCGCGTATCCATTCGCAGAAAGTAACGCCTCTGCTCGCGACTACCAATCGAGTCCCTTCTATCAAAGTGTGTAGATCGTCATCTCATGCCGCACCGTCGTATCATCCTAGACATTCTCGTCAGCCAACCTCTCACAAACACAGTCCTGAGTCCAAACATCGTTCACGACTCAACTCACCTCCAAATCCATCCCAATAACACAATCCTCATCAAGCAGAAACAGCGTATGCTGCTTCTCCACCGCGCGCAGCGTCCACCGATACGGCAGACAGGTCGTCACCCTTTGCTCGAAGATCTCGTCTTCGTCGAGCATAGTGCTGGACCCCAGCACCAGCTCGGTGTCGTGAAAGTCGAAGTGCCATGTGGGAGTGGGGTCGCCGCGGCGCGGGATGACGCCAAAGTCGAGGACGAGCACGGAGTGCTTGTCTTCGCGCGGGAGGGCGACGCGCTCGCCGTGGACGTGCCTTGTTGGGCGAGTGAGCTTAAGTGAGGGGAATGTGAGGAACGTGAGGAAGGAGTAGTGCACACCTGATCCAGCGGTGGTCGTCCCCCGGGAGCATGCGCGAGTTGAGTGGGCCCCATTCCGCCCACGGGACCACGACAGGCAGCTCCGTATCCTCTCCACTGGTAGATGCGAGCGTAGTATACCGCTCCAACCACCGACAATGCACGAAAAGCCTCACCCAATCATCAAAATTATACAAAATCAAAAACATACAAATCCGGCTCCCATTCGCCTTCGAGAACGGCGCATGGGGGTTCGGGTGGGCGCAGAACGGCCCCATCTGCATGCCCATGGAGGTGATGTATCCGCCTGGTGCGGTTTCCGGGAGCGCGAGTGATGCGACGTGCGTCGGCGCGTTTGGGGCGTCGCCGCGGAAGGTGAAGATTTGGATCTGGCCGGAGTTGGGCTGGCCGTTTTCTTCGGCGCGGGTGAGGATGTAGGCGCGTGGGGTGAGGAGGTGGAAGTCGCCGCTTGCGAAGGAGAGGGGTTGGACTGTGGTCTGGGTCGAATCGGTTAGCGTAAAAGGAGGGAAAGTGGGCCTGAATAAGAAGACATACGTCGATGATAACGCCCAATCGCCAGTTCAATAGGATCCGTTTGGCGGGTTCCAGCCGCGGGAAGAACAGGCCCACAATGTCGGCTGCGATCCCGATGGAGAGCACCATGGCGGGATCGCTGACATGCGGGAACTCCAACATCGGGAGGGCGGCGAGCGGGTGGACCTGCTGCGCCGACAGCGTGCGGCATTCGATGTGCGCCACGTTGTCCGTCGAAACGTGCACGATGACGAGCAGATCCTGTGTCGGGTCTATGGCGAAGTCCTGGAAATCCAAGGGTTCTACTCCGAATGAATGAGTCGAACGGGCGTGGTCCGGCTCCTCGACGATTTGAGGCAGCGAGAGGATGACGAAGTCGGGACCGGTTTCCTGTTGGGCGAAGACACCGCCTACTAGTTCGTAGGCGCGGCAGAAGTGCAGCGACTCGATCTGGACGGTGGCTCTTGATTTCCATTCCAGATTTCGCCATGCGCGGCGGCGTCCGAGCAGTTTTTCGAGCGCCCCCGCATGGGTTAGGGTCCCAGAGGGACCGCGTACCATCCCATCGGCCCAGAGCTCAATGGTGTACCGCAGACCGGGGGAGGTTGTGATGATCTCGTTCCACAGCGTACAGACCTTGGAACACAATATTCAAATCGGAACTTTGTGCGCTTGCTGCGCTGGCGCTGGCGTTACTCACGGCGGAACTCGACACGAGGGTTTTGGCGTCCAGGAAGTCCATGATTGCCAACAGCATTTCGGCTGGAATGTCGCTGAGAGTTGGAGGCATCCGGTGGATTCAGCGTGAGGACGAGGAGGTTTGAGGCAAAGGGCGGCTCGCGTCATGACGTGGGGATCAATGGTCCGGTGATCCATACCCCATTTGGCAGCAAGCGTCGGGCTTTTCTCAATTATTGGGCGGATTTCAGATTTTTTCCCCCTCACACCACCGAAGGGATATTCCCCGACGTAGGACAGCCTGAGGAGAGTAAAGCTTTGCTGAACAAAAAAATAATGCAGAGGACGATTCAGACCAATCACCCGACCCCGAGTCGAACGAGGACCTTCTACTTCCAGTACTTTGTAAATGGGAACACAATGAATGCAGGGGCACGCCGCGTGCTATCGGGTGCTCCCATACTTGCCTTCAGACGGGATAGGTGATGTCTTTAGCCTGAGTCTTCACTCTCAATTTGCTTTACAGGCCCCCAGCAAAATTGAGATCACTCCTGTGGCACCGAAACCCGAGCAGATGAACCCGCCACAATGAACTCGGCTGCCCTCGGAGGAGACACCTCGATCGCGAGTCAAACGAACCTGAGTGTCATCAATAAAAAAAGCCACATGGAGAGTCCTACCTCATCACCCGACCCCGGATTGAACGGGGACCGTCTGCTGATCATTGGATGGGAACGAGCTAAGCAAAGCAGATGCACACCTCCGTGCTATCGGGTGTCTAATGCGCTG